TAGTGATGGTGGTTGGGTATCTTCATCACCTCCATCTTCTCTACATTCACTTGAAGTCCCATTTTTGCTGTCTCTTCTGTCAACTTGTTAGTTTTCGTCTGTAGATCTTAACATGAAGAAATTGAAGACAAAATATAAAAGTTTTAAGGATATCATAAACAGAAAATAAATAACTAAATGAGAATAACAATCTATCAAATTCACCCAAAAATTTACATACGGATTGATTCATTTGTTGTAACAAGAGAGAAAAATCTCTTTAACTCTGACTTACGAATTGTCTGATGACGTTTCCACTAGAAAGTATTAGACATGTTAAAAGTACAACAACTGTAATTAGTATCAGTGGTTAATAATACCTGCTGTTATCATATTTTTGCATCGGTTTGGTTTATTTACCCCTCATTATCAATAAAGTCATAGTGATGCTATTTTAGACGATAAAATAAGACTGAACATCAGAAAAATTAAACAAAATTAAATATTTCTCTATTGAACGAAAATGTTTCTTTATCATCTCCTCTGGTGCGTAAAACAGAATACTTTTGTCTATTCTTTTATATTTAAGTTTTTTTCATTCTTTCTCTTCTTTACTAAACTTGCTTCTTAATATCATTATTCCAGTTTTAAAAATGCTAATTACCATTTATCAGTGGTGTTTGTGTCGATTGAAGGTGAAAACTAGGTAGGCAGAATGTTTGGAGATTGGAAATAGGTCAAATGATGAGTATTCTCAAGTGTCCAAAGTATTGAAAAGATTTTTCCATTTTATTTTGTATACATTCATATACATATATATATATTTTCAAGCCTGAATTTAAACCTAGTTGATTCAATTTCAACTAAACAATGTAAAGCGAAAGAAAGGGGAACATTCTAAGGAATATAACTTGAAGATATTGTATTTCACAATAGAAATATTTTTCAATAGGTATTAATACTAAAAAATTGTTTTTGATTTCTGTTTCGTCTACTGAGCTGATCTGTTTATGTAATTATTAGTATTATTTGTCCCTTGGCTTCCTAATGGAATATAGGGCTTCAGTAGCACACCTCCATTACACTCTCTTCTCTCAAATCTGTTCAACCTGACTCCACGACAACTCACAGGCTCTCATCTCCTCCTCACACCATCTCCTCCATCTCACCCTCGCCTACAAAGCCAAACTCGTCACTTCCCATCTCGGTCCCACTCGAGGGCCTGGCCTGATGCATGATGTCCACAGTCAGCCTTCTCAGTGTATGCTCAATCCCATCCACCTCCACTTCACTCTGCATATGTGTTGAGTGATAGGTTCCTACTTCGTTGGTTCGTCGCAAGCAAGCCAGCCAGCCAGCCAGCCAGCCAGCCAGCCAGCCAGCCTGAGTTCCTGGTTGCTTATTCTCATTATTATTCTGGCCATGTGATTAATGTTGAGTAACGAGCGAGTGTAGGCAGTTGTTGATGAATATCTGTTGTTTGTTGGAAATCCCTTTCGTAACGCACCACGTTTCTCAACCACTTAGGAGTACTGACTTGACTGTCGTTGGTGTTGAGAATCTGGACTTTGTTCCACATGCTGAGTGGGGAAGATCTCGACACTGGTTTCAGGCTAATGAAGGCCTATCTTGCTTTTCTCATCCTGACTTTGACTTCCTCATCCGTGCTGTCTGTAGTTGATGCAGTGCTGCTTACAGAGGTGAAGGAGGTTACTTCCTTAAAGTTCCTCCTGTTCATGGTGATTGCAGCTTTTTGTTGCTGTTGGTGTTGGTTGGATATCTTCATCAACTCTGTCTTCTCTATATTCACTTGAAGTCCCGTCTTCGCTTCTCTACCCTGCCTCTTCTGCCAACTTGTTAGTTTCCGCCTGTAGATCTTCAAGTTTGTGCGACATCAGACACACGTCATCGTTGGCGAAATCCAAGTCTTTTAGGTTCTTTTCTGCGGTCCTGCGTGTCCCCCCCTTCTCGCTCTTCACTGTTTGTTGCATGATTCAGTGGACCAGTTTGTGTAAGTAGTAGACTTTAAATTACAAAAGTGTTTTATCCTAAGACATTATCATAAATTTTATTGCCAGTCATTCATCAATATCAATGTAGGAGTAGGTGTAACTGCACAACGGTCCAAGTTACCAAATCTTATGAAAACAAGTAACAAAGGAGTAATATGAATGGTGAAGAAAGTGGGTTAGAAATATTGCCTAGTCTTTTCTATAACGAAACCTGATACTTATGACCCATTTACTCATTTGGCAACAAAGTGATCACTGTGAAAAATGAGTAGTTATTTCTGTAGATTCCACTCGTTTTGTCTCTCTTTCAACTACATCATTTACTTCATCTGCTATATTCCATAATCTTCTCTTCAATTCACGTAGGCTCGACACTAGGAAATCTGCTTGACCTTCACTTGACTACTCGAGAAGTTTCCCAGATTAAGAGATAACTTACAGCTGTTAATTCGACTGTTGTGACTGTTCTATCAAATCAAAAATGACTTCCTTTAGGTAATATTGTAATTGTGAGCACTACTTATGAAACAAGCAGTAGTAATCTGCAAGTATACTCTAAAAATGTCAAATGATTGTGTTCTTTCACTAATATACTGTTTATTCCATGGTGTATGAATGAGTAAACCTTAGTTGAGAAGTATGAAGCCTGGTCGCTGACAGTTTGCCTTCATTTCAATGTGATGAGTTGTATGCCAAGCTACAACCTACCTCGATGTGCAATATTAGCTGAAGTAGCAGTGAACTGGAATAAACCATAAGATGTTTAGTTCAAGAATTGATACCAGTTCATGAAATCTATGACTGTTAGTCTTAGTGGTGTAAAGAGGTGTCAACCACTTGACTGAGGTTTCAAAGGAGATAGAAATCAGAGGTTGGTGACAGTTAGTGATTTGTCAGAAAATCGATCACAAAAGGAGCACATATATTCACTCCTTGACATGTAAAACTTGCATATTTTCAATAGCCTTCATTTTTAAATCAATTCTCATCTCTTGCACCTTTATCCACTTCTATATCAGTCACTTTTTATTCACTTATTATTTTCATGTTATTATGAGACCTGATAGATTGAAACGATGCACTTCCATTTGAATTTCTACATTTATTTTGTTTGACTGTTGATCTATACTTGTACTAAACACTTCTACGTATCCACTTTAATTAATAAAATTGATTGATTGAAAAGAGATTTCGGTGTATAGATGAAATACATTTCAGAATCATAACGATTAAAAAACTGATTTGGTTTAAATGTATTTCATCATTTCAGCATCAATCGCTTGGTTTGACATTATTAATGACAATGTACAAATGACATACATTTTTATATTGATCGTAGTTATCATGTTTTTTTCCTTTACTTGACGTTCATATCCTTCGAACTTGTAGTACTGACTTGTTTATCTTCAACTAACCATGGCATTGAAGTAAATAATTTAAAATATTCTGTCTAAAAATGTTATTCATCTTTGTTCTGATTAGTTTGTAGTATTACTGACAATGTTTATAGTAAGTCCATTGACAGAATGAAACTTATTCATCATTTCGATCTTGTTTTAAGACCAAAAACATAGATCTAAACGACAGATTTTCACTCGCCATAACGTAAACACATGTGACTTTTTTTTCTCATTAAAATAATATATGATAAAAAGTATAGTGATAACTTAGAAAAAAAATTGAGTCATTTAATCACATGGATTTAGTTATAATAACATGTAGGTAAACATACAAATTCCGGGAACAAAGGTATCCTTTCCTATTGATAGGCACATTCTCATCCTAAAGTTGTAACAATCACCTTGATTTCATTGGTTCACTTGAAATAGAAACAAACACAGGTGCCTTTTTGCTTCAAATTTTTTACGTCTATTTGGCTTGTAAGTTTCTTTCGTCAAATACTGACATAAGCTGGAAAAAGATTTAAAACCTTGGGATACTGAATTATTATTCCATCCTAGTTTGGTACTTTCTACCATCGCCTCTTTATAACTCCACCAAGTACTGGGCTAATGATCATTAAGCCTTTCAGCAAGGATATTACCAATCAACTGCTAGGTTAGAATACAACAATTTACATTTTCCTACTTCTATGAATTCACAATATAACCTTATCACCGTCTACTGTCAAGAGCAAGTGTCAATCTTTGTACCCAACTTGGAAGATAACATAAGTGTACCATATCTTGAATTAATTGTTACTGACTTAAAGAACACTAATTCATAGGTTGATAATGTAATCTATTTGAAAAAAAACTTTTAATAGAAGGAAAATCAACTAAAAAGTTCTCTTTGGTCTAGAGTGTTCATTCGACATACATTCTTGTCCAGTTTACAATTATATTAGTTCATTAATTACTATCTGTTCTCCTTCGCAATATTTGGTTCCCTTACTGGTAAGACTATTTATTAACTTGATTATTTATCATCATATGTTATAAGCCATTGTAATCATGGTTCAGAAATGTACGTCATTACTTGATTTATGGATGTATTCGATTGATTTTACTAACAAATTGTTACAGGTATAGATGAGGCTTAACATAAAGTTAATGTAGATCAGTCTATTGTAATATAAGCAAATTGTTGGTTGTAGATGTAACTTTAACACATTGTCAGTTAAATTTTGAAGTCGACTTTAAAGACTATTGTGTTAAGTAAGGCAGTTTGAAAGTGGTATTTCTGAAGAAGATTCGAACTATTACAGAAATGATTTCATAGGACAAATAAGAAGAAGCTTAGCGTTTCCTGTTACGCATTTATTAGGAATCATTATTCACAAAATTACCATTTATTCTGACATATATTAATTGTATTAATGAATGCTCATCTGAAATGATAGTTCTGAATGTTAGTTTTTCGAATAGATAGTCAATTTTGGTTATAGTTGGTTCGGAAGTATATATAACTTTGGCTAAACTGCATTCTTACTGATTGTAATGGACTGGATCATGCAAAAAACGGTGAGGAGCGAGAAGAGGGGGATACGCTGGACCGGACTAAAAAGATCCTAGAAGATTTGGATTTCGCCAACGATGATTTGTGTCCAATGTCACACAAACTTAAAGATCTACAGGCGGAAACTAAAAAGTTGGCAGAAGAGGCAGGGCAGCGAACGAAGACGGGACTTCAAGCGAACGTTGGGAAGAGAGAGTTGATGAAGAAACCCAACCAACAACAACAGCAACAACAACAAGCTCCAATCACCATCAACGAGGGAAACTTAAAGGAAGTAGCCTCCTTCACCCATCCAGGCAGGCAGCACTACCTCAACTACAGGCGGCGGTGGCACAGACGAGGAAATCAAAGGCAGGATGAGAAAAGCAAGATAGGCGTTCATTAACCTGAAACCAGTATGGAGATCTTCCCCACTCAGCATGTGGAACAAAGTCCAGATTTTCAACACCAACGACAGTCAAGTCAGTGCTCCTATGTGGTTGAGAAACGTGGTGCGTTACGAAAGGGAATTTCCTACAAACAACAGATATTCATCAACAACTGCCTACACTCGCTCGTTACTCAACATTAATCACATGGCCAGAATAATAATGAGAATAAGCAACCAGGAACTCAGGCTGGCTGGCTGGCTGGCTGGCTGGCTGGCTGGCTGGCTTGCTTGCGACGAACCAACGAAGTAGGAACCTATCACTCAACACATATGCAGAGTGAAGTGGAGGTGGATGGGATTGAGCATACACTGAGAAGGCTGACTGTGGACATCATGCATCAGGCCAGGCCCTCGAGTGGGACCGAGATGGGAAGTGACGAGTTTGGCTTTGTAGGCGAGGGTGAGATGGAGGAGATGGTGTGAGGAGGAGATGAGAGCTTGTGGGTTGTCGTGGAGTCAGGTTGAACAGATTTGAGAGAAGAGAGTGGAGTGGAGACATGCTACTGAAACCTTATGTTTCATTAGGAAGCCAAGGGACAAATAATAATAATTATAAACTGCATTCTGTTCAACTGTCTTGTGAATGGGAAATATTTGAGTTCTTCATGCAGATAACAAAACTAAATCTATATGTCATCATCCAAACATTTGGTACCGATTTAATAGAATAAATCTGCTGTCTTAAAGTATTCTTCTGTGAGAGTTGTTGGGTAGAAGGTGTATTTAGAAATATATATCCATATTCTTACAGTCTATGTTTCATTATTCATCTTCATGATGCAAGGTGATAAAATGTCGGGCAGGATTCGACGCTATTGTAATCAGTTACTCATATGCTCATTAAGTACAAGTACACAGGTTGTTTTTGACAGACTATTGTTTAAAACTACACATTAAGTGATTACAACAGTATCTTTTATTGTCACCCCTGCATGTCCGAAAATCACAACATAACTTTCCTGAATATTTCTTCCTGCATCTTCAGCAGGACTTTCTTAACAACGATAGTCTGGATTTCAAGTTGGTATTCATCAGCAAATGGCATTAGTTGGAGAGTCATTAAATACATGAAAACACTAGACAGCTGCTTTGTCCTCATGAAGGACACCACAGCAATGTCCATCCATTACTTCGTCAGAGATCTAGCCAATGACTTTCAGGTTTTGTGGTGAGAACGTTACTGTTAATCCTCTGGATTGAACTTCAGTGATCCATATCTTCCTGCTTTTGTCGATTTGTGATATGATATTTGTTGTCAGGTCCAACTTAGTTTACCTTAACTGTCATGACTTCTGATTAAAACTCAAAACCAATAAATCTTCCCAAACTATTATATGAATCATGGTCTGAATGTTCATAAAAATGCATATTAAGCGATTGTGTAAAGTCAGATTTTTTTTCCAAATGAATATAATTTTATCTGGAGGTTTGTAGAAATTGATTGAATTCAAGATAGCTTTCACCATTAAGTAACATCAGGTGGAAAACCATTGGAGAGATTTAGGAGCCCTGTAATACAACGGTGATGTGAAAACCATTATCTAGTTTTAAAACAAGTCTGTAAAACTATGGCAATATCATGCAGTCATAATGATAATCAGTATGGTACTCCTCTCTATTTTAAAAAATTCGGATTTGGATAAGAAGTCTTAACTGGGCAGCCAACGTGAGTTCGATCAAGCTATAGTAACGTGCCAAGAATTCATATAGTTGTCGGACAAAACCTCACTTGTGATTGAAGTGAAATACGAGTCTGCCCAGCGGTTGAATCTCGTAGCTCAGTTGGTAGAAAATCAAGCCAGAGACCCGGTGGTCGCTGGTTTGAATCCCACTGCAGCTCAGATTTTCATTTCACCTTGAAACACCACTCGGTATAAAAAAGGATTTGCAAATAAATACTGAGGAATTTATTATATCTCCTCAATGATGAAAAACATCAGTTCATTAAGTGTCATACTAAGCATTTATTTCCTACTTTCTGTTGAAGTATGGCCTTCACTAACATTATCTGTGTTTCATCTGTCCAACAAGCAAAGAAGACAAACCGAATATCATTTACACAATTAACTGCAATAACTGTAGTCAACACTACATTGGACAAAGTGGTCACCATCTTCACCTTCGGCATTTACATCAACACCAATTGACTATTAAACGTCATACACAACATTTCATCACTCATTTCAATGCACGTGGATAACAACTATGGACATGAATTCAATTTCGACAATGTAGAAATCGTGAATGGAGAGAGGAAACACAAAGAATATCATCAGAGAATTCCTAGAAGCTTGGCATTCAGGTCAGTCAGTCAGTCAGTTAGTTAGTTAGTCAGTCAGTCAGCAATCAACAGATGTATATGTATAGACGTAGACCCAATCTATCAACCAGTGAGAGAAGTGCTGAACAACAGAAAGGTCAGGAGTGAAGCAGAGGGATAGGCAACAGGAAAGTCTATACAGTCAGTGACACAACAATCAAGGGAAACGACCAACCATTGACCATATGGTCAGAGCAAGCTACTAGATGACTCACGGAGGGATATTGATAGCTCACTTCATACTGAAGTTAGTGCTGATGATGTTGTGTAGAGAGACGATGAAATCTTCATGATTAAACAACCCATCTTAGATAACACAATACAACCAATTCCATCCACCTGAGCTAAAAATAGTCTCCATTATTTCAGAAACGTACTTTCCATTTACAATTTAATTCATTGGCAACATTCTGAGGTCTTTAGAATAATCTTGTTTTGAATTACCAACCACTTATGCATTTTTTTTCGTTAGACACAGTGAGTAAAATTTCCAGTGGAACTCAGAGTTGATATACCTCTTGCTGTATATATATATATATATATATATATATATATATATATATATATATATATATATATATATATATATACTTGGGACTAGAGAACTTAAAATTGATCGCTGTCCCGTGAACACCTAATTTATGTCTTAAAGAGGTTCGTTCTATACTGGTAACATCACTAACTACAACACTCGATGGAACAGGTTCCAATCTCAGAGAATATATCAGTCTTCTTGAGGTTACAGGTACACCTTACTGACGAGTGCCAGTAAGCACGAAACCTAAGTAATCACTAACTCTTCTAGCAGTAAATTTGACATCCAGACATTGTACATGATTTATTCATAATTGTGAACTGAATATGCTTCAAGTAATATCTATGGCTTGTTTATGGAATGCAGTAGATTTTAGTTTCTGTAACAGTACACATATTTTCTAGCATAAAAGTGAATTTTATGCCAGTCTGTTATACCTACAATGTATATGAATTCCTATAACATGATCGATTTCAATACAGAATGAAATATCTCCTCTTTTTTGATTTTAACACAAAATGTTTTCTTTTATCAGAAATTTCAAAATGATCAACAACAATAATCATGATAATAGGTAGTTATGAATGAATCTTTCAATGATTTTGTACTAGTGTGTTATTTGAGCAACATACAGAAATATTTATACAAATATTGATACACGTCCACTGGATGCCTACTGGATCCATATTAGCAGGTTGTAGAAGAAAATAGACAAAATAAATGAAAACAACGTGAAATGATCAATAATCATCTTCATTATGATAAGCAATAGGTAAATCTTTGTCATATGCCTACGTATATACGTACACAAAGCTAAACACTGCACTTCATCATTGCTTCAAAAGAAAATCAGTATCTTGACATTCAGATAATTATAGTTAGTCTTTTAAAATAATCTGTAAAGAAAAATTCTTGTGTACCGTTTTTAATTATCTTTTTCTCCTGTCTCCATATATGAGGATTGCAAAAAAAATATTGTGATCAACAATTTAAAAACAGATTATCATTATGCCTTGCAAATCATTATATTATAGTCTACTTGATGGTTAACAGTGGAGTCAAGGCTACGCATATCGTCCTATTTAGGACTTGTCATATGTATTTACCAACATCCCATATAAATTCGCGTTGTTCCCACTGAGACTAGAACTCGAGGCCACTTGATTCGGAAGCCAGAGAGTTATTCATTAGGCCACTGGTTACAGATAGCGACCTCTTCTGCAGCGAGTACCAGTTATTGTTTATCAATACTTGTAATTGCTTATGTACATACATCTAGCTGACGAATCCCAAATAGGAAGCAACAAATATCTTGGAATCCACCGATAGTCACCAGTTATGACTATTATTAGTCCCTTGGGTTCCTAGTGGAATAAATGCCTTCAGTAGCACCTCTCCATTTCACTCCCTTCTCTACAGTCTCCTCAACCTGGCTCAACCAATCCCCACTAGCTTTCATTTCTTCCTCACACCATATCCTCCATGTCACCTTCACCTCAGACGCCCAACTAGTCATTTCCCAGTTGGCTTCCACTCAAGGGTCTAACATAGCCTGGTCTGGCACATGATGTCCCCAAATGGTCTTCTCAGTATATGTCCAATCCAATCCATCTCCACTTCCTTCTGCATACTTGTTAGACGATAGCGTCTTGGTTGGTTCGTTGCCAGTCAGCCAGCCAGAGTTCTTTGTTACGTATTCTTATTATTCTGGCCATCCATCTGATTGATCTTCAGTATCGAGTAAGTGTAGGCGGCAACTGTTGATGAATGTCTGTAGTTTGTTGGAAATGCTTTTCTGAACCACCAAATAGAAGCACCGACCTGACTGACATTAGTGTTCATAATCCGCATCTTATGCTGAGTGAAGTGGAGTGGAGTAGAGTAGATTTCCATACTGACTTCAGGTTAATGAAGACGTGTCTTGCTGTTTTGACATCCTCATCTGTGCCGGTGCCGCTTGTATTTGAACCGATGCTGCCCTACCTAGGTGGTAGGCGAAAGAGGCGAACTAGTCACCAAGTAGACTGCAAAATGATGAACAGCTTTGCAAATCATTTTGATTATTATTTTTTGTGTTTATATACGTTAAAGGTTCAATGATAAAATGTTGAAAATGACAGAAAATATATGTTATTTGTTGGAAAAAACTGCCAGTTGGTTAACCCTTTGATTATGGTAGAATCGAAGATGGATTATGTCTTACTATAAGACTTAGTATAAACTAAGGTATATCCTAGGTTCTTTGGTTTAGTGACTTCCAT